ACTCTTTCACTGTATCTTGATTTCATCAAGCAACCCTGCAATTCAAGACGTTCTTCTTGCACGTTATAAATTTCTCTTTCGTAATAAATAATCGCAAACAAAAATCAAAAACTTTGAAAGTCAATCATGTACATGTTCTTTTTCTTTTCTGACTGGGTAAATGTATAATATTTCACGATCTTTAGATGTATTGTTAAACTCTAATTTATTTTCGCCAACAATAACGTACTGCAAGAATTTACCATCTGCTCATATTCAGTGGCAGATTTATTTTAGATAAGACTTAGTTTGTAATATACCAGTGTACTTTTCTTACAATTTTAAAACGAATTTCTTTACATCAGAAGGGGTCGTTAAAATAAAGATATTTCTGTCAGCATCTGCATCGTTATGATTATGGAACATGTCTAATTCGACAAGGAAAATTCGAATGCAAGACTTACACTATGCGCTCGACTGGGACAAACTTCTCGAAACACTTGTTCTATGAAAGGTAGCCTGAAAAAACGAATATAAAAATCGATATTATTAAAATTTACAGGTTTGAAAAATTTCAACAATAGTTAAAGTCGAGGTTTGAAAAAAAGACATCATTTTCGCGAAGAATATTCACTTTTGGAAAAGTGCCAAATATGATTATAGAATCGAATGTCTTTAAGATTAAAGGTACCAACCTGAATATAATTTTAGTAACTAAAGTAAGAATATTTGTATGCTATTCTCGAATGAAGAAATAATAATTTATGAGTACACTTACATTGCTAAGATACCACCACCAGGAGGCAGATTGGGAAAGTCTTCATCCGCAAGAAGTTGTAGCAATTTCAAAAAATCGAATTCATTCTCATCCTCCTGTGCAGTAACTATTTCTAAAAAAAAAAGTAATAAAACGGGTTATTAATTGTACAATCAGTTATAAGCATTTACAATTCAAAATATTAAATATATATCATGATTAAGTGCACTGTGCATCTATTATCACATTTGTGCTGTACATTTAAGTATTCTAATAAATGCTGTCCATTAACTTCGGTCAGTATTGTCAAAGAAATCAAAGAAGTTTGATTATACTTATAACAATTAATAATTTTCATAAATAAGAAGTATAAGATTGTTAAAAAAAAATGAACATGTAACAAAATAAATACATATATATGCATGCATCTACTTAGGACTGGAATAGTTAGTGCTTTGAATACATTTCTTATGGAAAACCTGAAAGATGAAATCCGGTCGTAAGTAGATACATTTTCGTTTACATGTACTCATAGTTACATTTGTAATCTCTTCCAAAACTTATCCACCTCTGGAATTGTAATATACTAATATAAAATCTATACATTTAGAAAATAGTAAACTTTGTTGGAATGTTCCTCCATAAGAAATGTGTTATTAATGGTAAAATACTGATGCAATAGGTATGAACATTTGTGTATTTTTGTGGGAAAACATTAACCTACCTGTAACATTGCTTATGTGTTTACAAAGAGGAACAAACAACTTT